TAGTTAAAATATAGCTAAGTTTTTCTAGCTAGCTGAAAATGAGCTATTTGAGATTGCATATGAAGTGATTCTAGGAGAAAAGGTCATTTCCTCCAGAGGTGCTGAAATCTATGCATGTGTTACACCAACATCTCCCCTCCCACCCAGCAACCCATCAACTATCTCTAATTTATTCTTAACACATAAGATAATGACCAAGTTCACGGACTTAAAAGGGAGAAATCACATAGACATCTCGCTGAAAGTTTCTCTGCTTTAGGCCAGCAGGAAATTCCAGTTGCTTCATTCACCGGAGCCAGTTAAGCTGCTTAAATGAAATGGGTGATAGGAGAGATCACGAAGTCAGGACATAGACTTGACTTTCAGGGTTGGAGGAAGCCAGACAAAGATGAATGGGATTCAGAGCCTGAACTCAAGGTCAAGGTCTTCTGAATCACAAAGAGTTGGTGGGTCAGTCTAGGGGAAGAAAGAAGATTCAGGCCAAATGGGAAAACCCTTAACTCAAAGTTTGCATAGTTCTGCTTGTAGGTAAGAAGAACACAGGTAGGCGGCGGGAAGAGAGGTGGCAAGCAGCCTCAACACTTGCCAAGATCCCCAGGTTTTTATAAACGGATCCTCCTGAAGTCTCCAAAACTGTAACTACTCTGTGCCCAGATGTATATTCTCCCCTGGCTTTTCCAACAGGCTACCTGCCTGTGACCCTTTTCCCACGACCTTGGCTCCTCCTCTGTCGACAGCGCTCCGGGGTCTCCTCTCTGCCTCCCAGACAGACAGACACACGGACAGACAGAAGGAACGAACGGGGGACTGGGCCAGCCCAATTCCCACCCCCCGCGCCCGCTCCCTCGAGGCAGCCAAGACCCTCCAGGAATCCGAAAGCCACAGCGCGATGCGCGCGCCTGCCACCTGCCCAGCCTCGCGCCGGGGTCCGGCGGTCCCCACTCGAGACCCGGACATCGCGGGGCACCGCAGCCCCCGCGCCGACCCGGGGCCGCCAGGGGGCAGGCGGGAGCAGCTGTCCGGGTGCCTCCCACGCCGGTTCCCCTCCCCCGGCCCGCCGGCCACTCACGGATTTTCACTCGGCGGTGGTCCAGGCGCGCGGTGGCGGCGTGCAGGGTGTCGAGGCGACGGTGCAGCGCGGCGGTGCGGTGGCCCAGCGCGGCCGCCTGGCCCTCGAGCTCGCCAAAGATGTCCCCGGCGCAGCGCGACAGGTCGGCCAGCTGCGCCAGCAGGCAGCCCAGGGCGTGCGAGCTGACCTGCTCCAGCGAGCGGAAGAGCGGCGCGCCCGCAGCCCCGGCCCTCGCCGCCTCGGGCCGGCGCAGCCGCGCGGGCTCCAGGGTCCTCTGGTGGAAGGGCATGGCGGGGGCTGGCCAGCGGCGCGGGGGACCGCCTGGGCTAGCGCAGCCCTCAGTCCGCCCCCCGTCGGCGCGGGGCGCGAGCCTGCATCCAACACACAAAGGAAGTCCCCGGCAGCGGCGGGGCGCCGAGGGAAGCCTGGCGGCCCTTGCCCACGGGGGAGAGGCCGGCAGGGCAGGAAGGACCGACGGAGGGGCGCGCGGGGAGGCGGGCGGGCACCGGCGGCGCGGGGCAGGGCTGGGGTCCGAGGCGCAGCTGCCTGGCGCCCGGCGGCGTCCCTCCACCCTCAGGGCTTCCCGGGCCGCGCGGCGAGAGGAAGTTCCAGGGGCAGCTCCGGGCAGCGGCGGCAAGGGGAGCCGCGAGTCCCGCTGAAGTTTGCAGGCGGGCAGGAAAGCGCCGGCGGCTCCTTCCCTCCCTCCGGATTGGAGAGGGAGGAGGAAGCGGGGGAAGTGCCGCCGACACCGGGCGAGAGGGAGGGGAGGCGAAAGAAAGGAAAGGGGGAGGAGAAAAGGGCCGGCCCGGGAACCACCTGCGGCTCCCGCGGCCGCCGCGCCCAGCGGCCGCAGCCAGTGGCTGTCCCCGGCGCCTCAGCGCACCCTGCCGGGGCGGGCGCGAGCGCACAGTCCCGGGGCGCCCACGTCGCCGCCCCAACTCCCCTTGGCAGCCCCCGAGTCGTGGGGCCGAGCCCTCGCCAGCGCCCTGGGCCGGGGTGGCACGCAGCGCGGGCGCCGCGAAGGCGGAGGCGCCAGGACTGCCGCGGCCAGCCCCGCTCGCGCTGCTCACCTGCGCCTCTGCCCACGGCGCTCCGCAGTCAGGCGCGCCCCGCCTCGCGGGGAACGCCCCGGGCCCCTCAGGATCCCCCTGGTCTCTCCCACTTGCCTACTGGAAAGTGGCCAAGACTCCTGGGCCGCTTCGGTGGATCTAAAAGAGAACGTCTTTAAATCGTCCAGTGGCCGGGGTGTTCTGTCGCCGAGTGGGAGTCCACGTCCCAATCGGAACAACTTCTTAAGACCTCTTTTCAGGGGGCGTCCAGTGAGTTTCTTTCAGCAAGGTGACGCCCCTGTGGCTGCCTGCCACTACAGCTGGAAAGGTCCAAGCTGAAATGTGCCTCAGCTGAGTTCCTTCCCCCAAGCATGTGAGTTGGGGGTGGGGGACTAGAACCTAGAACCCTGAATGCGGAGCCTGGAAGACATGTAAGCTACATGCTATTGAGATCGCGCTCATGGGACACCCGCTAACTCAAACCTTCTGGTAGGAAGTATTTGAGAAGACTGGGTTCAATATCCCGAAGCTAAAATCCCACTGGCCCATCGCTATGTTTGCTCAGAAAAGGAATCTGGGTTCTTTGGTTTCTGCTTTCCAGTCGACCCTGGTTTCTCCTCTGTTTCGTGGCTGTTTGGGAATCAGTCTCCCAAAGCAGCGCAGGTTGTAATGAGAAGCGCATTCCATCTCTGGGGGGCAGGAGCGGTGGGAGACAAATGGGCCTGGGACAGAGCTCCTCCACACAAAACTTAGTAGACAGATGCGGTTTTGTTTTGGTCTTTACCCTGTTGTACAGCGGCTTAATTTTTACAATGTAGGCCACTAACAATTTCTTACTACCTACTCTGACCACCTTCAGGATTGTTATGAGGCACAAAGGAACTGCTGCTGTCTATGCAAAACAAACTGCTTTGTAATTTATGAAGCACTTGATAAACACCAGGAACAGTAGAAAAGCGTGCAGCTTCCTCAAGAAATACTAGCTGTGGCTGTGTGTTGGGCACTGGCTACAGATAAGGTAATGTGTAAAGCTGGCTCTGTCCTTGCCATCTTGAGACTTCCGTGTAGTGGACCATGCATATCATTTTTAAATTGTATACAATACGGCCGGGCGCCATGGCTCACGCCTGTAATCTCAGCACCTTGGGAGGCCAAGGAGGGCAGATAGCATGAGGTCAGGAGTTCGAGACCAGCCTGGCCAACATGGCAAAACCCAGTCTCTACTAAAAATAAAAATTAGCTGGGCATAGCGGTGGGTGCCTGTAATCCCAGATACTCAGGAGGCTAAGGCAGAAGAATCTCTTGAACTCGGAAGGCGGAGGTTGCAGTGAACCGAGATAATACCATTGCACTTCAGCCTGGGCGACAGAGCCAAACTCTGTCTTTAAAAAAAAAAAAAAAAAAAAAAAAAATTACAATATGATTTGCCTATTTAAAGTATATCTCAGTGCTTTTTAGTATATTTACAATGTTGTGGAAATATCACCATAATCACTTTTAGAACATTTTGATCACACTGGTCTCAAAAAAACAGTTCTCTTTAGTACTCAGTTCCCTCCCTCCCAAACCATCACTAGCCAATTGCAACCACTCATATATCTATGGATTTGCCCATTCTAAAGGTTTCATATCAATGAAATCATACAGTGTGTGATTGTTTGTGACTGGCTTCTTTCACTTAGTGTAATGTTTTCAAAGTTTATCCATGGAGTAGCATGGATCAGTTCTGATTCTTTTTTTAAGGCTGCATAATATCCCTTTGTTTGGATGTGCCGCATTTTGTTTATCCATTCATCAGTTAATGGACATTTGGGTACCACTTGTTGGCTATTAGGAGTAATGCTGCTATGAACATGTGTGTTTTCATTTCTCTTGGGTATATACTGAGAAGTGGAACTGATGAGTCATGGTAACTCTATGTTTAACTTTCTTAAGGACTGCCAATCTGTTTTCCAAAGCGACTACACCATTTTACCACCCAACCAGCAATGTATGTGGGTTCCAGTTTCTTCACATCCTCAGCAACTTTTATGTCTTTTTTTATTACAGCCATTCTAGTGGGTATATTATCTCATTGTGGATTTAATTTGGATTTTCCTGATAGCTAGTGATAATGAGCATCTTTTCATGACCTTATCAGCTACCTGTGAAAAAATATAACATTGTAGAATGTCTGTTCAGATTCTTGGCCATTATTAAATAAAACTTTTGTCCATCATTAATTTTTGTCCATCATTAAGATGTAATAGTTCCTTGAATGTTCTAGATACAAGTACCTTAGGTATAACATTTCCTTCCTAATTGCTTTAACAGTCTATTGTGGTCCAGTATTGTTCTGTAGTTTATTCCATCTTCTGTTCCCTTGAGACTTTCCCACTGGTTGAGAAAGAATTATGGTTTAGCCACATAGACTAATAAAAAAGGGCAAGGATATTTTTGTAAATTTGTAACCCTGGGGCAATATCAATAAAAATTTTTCTGATAAAATGATTTCACTACTCCAGAAGCTGAATGTAAACTCTATACATAACCAGAACATGGAATTAATAGGACTCTTGGTGTATCCATAAAAGCAACTTAACTTTTAGTCTTCTACTGTCCCTTTGATAGTCTGTTCCATGAGGATAGGGAGGATAGTTCTTCTTCTTCCGCAGAATGAAACAGCAGTCCCATAACTTTTTTATTCTCTCATATAATAGGAAATCCTGTTATTTTAAGAGAAAAACCCTGCTCTTAATTCAGCAATTAAAATCTTGTCCCCTTCCCCAGCAGGGGCCTCCTGTGGGCAGAACTGTGGGCAAGGAGCTTTGTTCCTCCCCCATGTCACCCTCCCGCAGCCCACTTGCTAACCACGGTAAGGGGAGGGAGGGGTAGAGGCCAGCAGGAAGGCAGGTACTGAACTGGTCCTCTGGTGGAAAGGGGTCACCCACACTGGGCTTGGTGGGTATTTGAAAGTGACTCTTTTGTGAACACTATCGTGAGCCCTCTCTGGGAATGTCTGGCCATGCTTCCTGACACTGGCCATGAATTTTCTCTAGCTGCTTATTCTACCCCAACCTTGGTTTTCCTTCCGTCCCCTCCACACAGACTCTCACCATCAGGGTCCTGTCAACCCTCCAGTGAGACTTTTTCAGAAGAATCCCTTTTAAAATGACCTCAGGCTGACCTTCCTGCTGCAGATTCCACATATGGTATCTGAGTCTCACACAGTGTGGTTGGAAGATAGCACAGTGACCTCCCAGGCACAGCCCTCCGCCAGCTGCCCTAGGATGCCGGCTTTCCTCCGGTGAGAGTTGAGCCCAGTCTGCTGTTGGCCAGAAGCAGCTAGCAAGCTCCCTGGGAGGCCTGGAGAAGCCCTTCTCACTCAGCTTGGTGTTCGATGCCAATGCCCCCGCCCATTGTGGGGTGAGAGTAGGACTCTCAGGGCAGCCCTGTCCAAATCCTCAAAAGCCCTCTTACACTTAAGTCTTTTGTAGCTTGTATGATTGAGCATCTAAGCAGTCCTCAACTATTTACTTGAAATTTCATAAGTAATTTTGGTATGTGTCATTTCTTGGTGCATCAGTCACAACTTCCCATGTAACATCCCATTAAGTAACATATAAAACAGAACAAAAACATGCCAGCTTCTTCCAAGAAGAATTTAATGTTACTTCCTAAGTTCAGTGGCTGGGCCCTGTCCCATGCCTGTTCATCTCTGCTCAATGATCATCAAGATCTAAGAAAGAAGAAAGAAGCCCTGAAAGCCTAGCCATATGTGTGTGTGTGTGTGTGTGTGTGTGTGTGTGTGTGTGTGTGTGTGTAATTATGAGGAACACTCTCCATTCTGTTTTTCATTAAAATCTAAAGGGAAATTCTGTTAAATCAATGCCAAGACCAAAAGTTGTGGACATTCATGTCTTTTTTAAAGACTCTAAAATCAAGTGGAACATTCAGATAGACTATATTATTTCCCAAGTTTTTTATATATAGTACAAATTGTTCCTGAATTAAAAGTCTAATGACTGATACTTTTTTTGTATTATCTTACTGCTAGGGAAAAAAAATTACCATGATGTGAAAAAGATGCCACAGGCACCACGGGGTATAGTGTATAACAGTCTTCTGTCCATGACATACTGTGGTTTATATGGGGAATTAGCCAAGTGGTAGAAACCTCAGTCCAGCCAGTCTGGAGACCAGTAAACCAAAAAGAGACTTCTGCTTCTAACAGACATAGGCAAGTGCTAATTTCTCACCAACTTAAAAATAACCCTAGTCTGGCCAGGCACTGTGGCTCATGCCTGTAATCCCAGCACTTTGGGAGGCCGAAGTGGGTGGATCACGAGGTCAGGAGTTTGAGACCAGCCTGACCAACATGGTGAAACCCCATCTCTACTAAAAATACAAAAAAATTAGCCCGGTATGGTGGCACTCCCCTGTAATCCCAGCTACTCTGGAGGCTAAGGCAGGAAAATCACTTAAATATGGGAGGCAGAGGTTGCAGTGAGCTGAGATTGCACCACTTCACTCCAGCCTGGGTGACAGGGTGAGACTCTGTCACAAAAAACAAAACAAAAAATAACCCTAGTCTTTGATTAGCCAGAGAGAGTTTCTTAAAATGCATATCTGATTGTGTCCCCCTCCCCCAGCTCAAAAATCTGCAAAGCTTTTCCACTACTTTTTGGATTAACAAAAATGAAGTCCACAAAGCCCAGAGAGTGCTGTCCCTACCTTTCTCTCCAGCCTCCTCTGCTGCCTCCCGCACCGTGTTATCCAGGCCAAATGGAATCAGTGCTTCCTCTCTTCTCCCTTCTCGCCTTTGTTAAGTTAGCTTTTCAGATTTTGGTTCAAATGTCACTTCCTTGGCAAAACCTGCCCTCCCCTCCCAGGCCAGATCAAATCTCCCTATTCTAAACTACTAAACTTGGAACCCATATAAGTGTTTCTATTTATATGTTTATATAATTTTTGATCATTATCCATATTAGGGCCCTGAAAAGAAACAAATCAACTTAGATGGTTCAATTAAGAGAATTTAATGAAGAAACAAAAACCAGAGGTGCTGAAGCACTCAGGAACTAGCAACAGCAGGAAATCTTTATGACCCCTTGGTTCAAAGGGGTGGAAGGGGGCACCACTTCAATTCCCACCCCCTCCCCGCCGCCCCAGGCCTGGAGCAGTCATCCACTAGCAGTTGCAAGTGCTGGGGCCAACAGGTCTCAACCAAATTCCTCTCTGGGACCTGTCCCTGACCAAGGGGAACTTCTTCACCCAAAAGCATGCCCCCTTTCCCTGGGGCAGCCTCATGCAATGACTGGTCTACACAGAAGTATGAAGACCCAGCTCACTTGCACCAAATTGGGACAACTAACTGCAGGGCCCTGTTAGCCCATTCTGCAACATTCTGATTCCCTCACTCCCCCACCCCAAGTGGTCATCCCAAGAACACTCCCTAGGTAACCTATGGCACAGTAACAGGGGCTGCTTCGTACAGAACCTGCCTGGAGAAAGAGCCAAGGTGAAGAAAGTGTTACCCAAGCCCTGTAAGGGCTTTCACTTTGAGCAAGCAGTGAGTAGGGAAGAAAGATCTCAGCGTCTCCTCTCCCACTTCTCTATCTCCTGCCAAGACTTTCTATTGGTGGTAGCCATTGGGTGATGTAACCCACAGGAGTCAGCCTTCTGGGGTAAAACACAGCAGAAAATAGATGTAGTGGTGAGAAAAGGGCAGAAACAAAAATTTCCCCTTAGTAATCTGCCAGTACATACAGTGGCAAAAGAAGCCCCAACTAACCAAGAGTCTTAGCTTTCAATTTAATAGAACTATGAGAACCTGGCGCAGTGGCTCATGTCTGTAACCCAGTACTTTGGGAGGCCAAGGTGGGCAAATCACGAGGTCAGGAGTTTGACAGCAGCCTAGGCAACATAATGAAACCCCATCTCTACTAAAAATACAAAAAATTAGCTAGGTATAGTGGCGGGCACCTGTAATCCCAGCTACTCAGGAGACTGAGGCAGGAGAATTGCTTGAACGAGGCAGAGGTTGCAGTGAGCCGAGATCATGCCACCGTACTCTGGCCCAAGAGACAGAGTGAGACTCCATCTCAAAAAAAAAAAAAAAAGAACTATGGCTATTGAGCTACTGATACAGTTTGGATGTATGTCCTTGCCCAAACCTCTTGTTGACATGTAATCCCCAATGTTGGAGGTTGGACTTGGTAGGAAGTGATTGGATCATGAAAGCAGATATCTCATGAATGGTTAGTATCATCTCTTTGGTACTATCCTGGCCACCGTGAATGAATCCTCACAAGATCTGGTTGTTTAAACGTGTGTGGCACCTTGTGCCCAGGTGAGGCACCAAGATCCTTATTGTTCAACTACCCCACACTGCGAAGGAGCCCAGAATATATTTAAAGGAAAGAGAAGGAAGATGCAGAAAAAGAAATGGAAGAGTTGCTCAAAGACAGAAGGGTCACCTGAGGTCAGGAGTTCGAGACCAGACTGGCCAACATGGTGAAACCCCATCTCTAGACAGATGTGGTGGGTGGGTGCCTGTAATCCCAGCTACTAGGGAGGCTGAGGCAGGAGAATCACTTGAACCCAGGAGGCAGAAGTTGCAGTAAGCTGAGATCACACCACTGCATTCCAGCCTGGGTGATAAAGCAAGACTCCATCTCAAAAAAAAAAAACAAAAAAAAGTATGAGGAGGTCCAAAATAACCAAGCCAAAAGAAGAGTTTTTCACTGGGAGAGGGTATTATGTCTTGGAAAACACAGTGGGTTCTAGTTCTGCTATAAAGGGCTGTGAGACTGACCCTACACCAATTTATTAGCTTGTCTGGGCCTCCATTTCCGTATGATGAAAAGCATAAAGGTTTCTCCTCTACCTATGCATTAATTTCTGGTTTTTTGTTTTGTTTTGTTTTGTTTTGAGACAGAGTCTCACTCCATCACCAGGTTCCAGGCTGGAGTGCAGTAGTGTGATCTTGGCTCACTGCAACCTCTGCCTCCCGGGTTCACGCAATTCTCCTGCCTCAGCCTCCCGTGTAGCTGGTATTACAGGCACACGCCACCATGCCTAGCTAATTTTTGTATTTTTAGTAGAGATGGGGTTTCACCATGTTGGCCAGGATGGTCTCGATCTCTTGACCTTGTGATCTGCCCACCTCAGCCTCCCAAAGTACTGGGATTACAGGCGTGAGCCACCGCATCCAGCCTTAATTTCTGTTTTTAGCTGTCAGAAGCATGGGCACTCTACCTATACATTTAGCTGTATTCATACATTCATCATGACCTCCTTCCTCCATCCTAAAGCGGAATGCAAATCCATACAAGATGTCCTTGGCACCTGGGCTTCAGAGTCCACCTGTTCCTGCACCCTCCACAACCTTTCACCAAGTATTACCCTCTTTTTTTGCATCTTCACCTTTTCTTCCTCCATTTGCCACTCAATATTTAAAATACACTCAAGCCTCCTTCATTGAAAGATTAAAACTTGGCCAGAAGCAGTGGCTCATGCCTGTAATCCCAACACTTTGGGAGGCCAAGGAGGACGGATCACAAGGTCAGGAGTTCAAGACCAGCCTGACCAACATGGTGAAACCCCATCTCCACTACAAATACAAAAATCAGCCAGGTGTGGTGGTGTGCACCTGTAATTCCAGCTACTCAAAACCCAGGAAGCATAAGTGACAGTGAGCAGAGATTGTGCCACTGCACTATGGCCTGGGTGACAGAGCAAGACTCAGAGAAAGGAAAAAAAACAAGAAAGAAAGGAAGATTACAACTCTTCATTTTGGTTCAACACTTTCTCCTTCCCCTTTATGGTCAAGCTTCTATAATAGACTGCATTGAAAGTTTCCAGGTGCACAACCATCCACTGCCATCTGCTTTCTCACCCTTCCTTGCTTTGAAATGGTTCTGCTGCTGTCTCTGGGGCCTTCTTACTTGCTTTGGTCATTGGATGTCAATTGCATCCCCATTTTCTTGAAACTTCGTTCCCAGGTGACTGCCATGCTCTTATTTACCCACTCCATATCACACTTTCCAAGCTTTGGAGACTGAAGGCTACGAACACAGTCTCTAAAAATATGGCCTTTATTTTTTCTATACCTTTAAAGTCAACACATGGGGCCTCTAGGAATTGATGTACCTCAGTTCATTCAGGTGACGTGAGCAACTCAGCCATGCCTATGACTTCAGCTATCACTTACTTACTGATAATGGCCAAAAATCCCTACTTCAGGCTGGGTTCATATCTCAGTTCTTACCACTTACCAGCTTGGGAAAAGTAGTTTACCATTCATATCTCAGTTCCTCATCTGTGAAATGGAGATTGTAATGAGATAACCCTGACTTGGTTGTGAGGGTCTCATGAGTTGCAACATGTAAAGTGCTTAGATATCACTTGCTACATAATTGGTTTATATTTAATAAATGTTCGTTATATCAATAGATATCTTCCTCTCCCCCTTTC